TATTCCCCCAGCTTCCTCTTTGTTGGATTGACATAGGCTGTCACTGACCCTCTATCACAAGGCCAGCTCTCTAAGACAGCCTCTCCAAACAGCCTCTCTATCTCTAGGTTCCAGTAATCCCCCTCACCCTTCTGTTTAAGGCTGGAGTGATGTTAGTCCCAGAGTACAGCGTCATCCCTTATACGTGCCCTACACCCTGCTTATAGTTTTATAACTAGTGTCATAGTAAACACTCCTCAAATTTTGCAATTTTTGTGTGCACCAGTTTCCTTCTAGAACCCTGGCTAATATTGTCTGCTTTCAGATCCTAAAATGTGCCTATTTCAACTTAAATGTTACTTCTTCAGGGAAGCCTTTCCTAGCCCCCTTGATTCAGGTATAACCACCTGTTAAACCCACTACAGCACCCTGTGCTTCTCCTGTCACAACATCCTCCACTCAGTGGCAATCATTGAATGAGTGTTAATGTTGCCTTCTCTAATAGGCTGCACATTCGACGACATCAGTGACTGAGTCTGCCTTGCTCATTGTCATAGCCTAAGAGTTCAGCCTGGGATCTGGAGCACAGGGTATTCTCAATAGTAATTTGTTGAATTCATAAATGGGTGGATTGATGAGTGAATGAGCCTAATTTTATTCAAAAACAATATTGCATCAGAAATGTATAAACCAAAATTTGTTGGAAATACAAGAATGATTTGACAAGATATTAATTTTACAATACTTTAAGATCCTTTAATATACTTTCTCAGAGAGAGAAAAAGAAAGATGAAAAATAACCTTGTTATATATATGGAGAGAGAGCGCTGTTCTATAAATATATACACAGCTATGAAACATTTACCAAAACACAAGCATGTATTATGACTCAAAGAAGGAATAGGGAAGATTCATAAAATCCACATTCTGTGAAAATAAAACAATAGCTAGAAATTAATAATTAAAAGACAGCCAATAAATGAGTTGAAAGGAAATTAACCACTTATGATATTCTAAATAACTTCTGAGTGAAAGAACTAAAAGTTAAAACTATAGGTCATTAAAAATTAACACTAATGGTAGCACTTAACATAAAAATCTATGGATTTGGGCCAGCCCGGTGGCACAGCGGTTAAATTCATATGTTCCGTTTCAGCGGCCCGGGGTTCACCAGTTCGGATCCCACGTGTGGTCATGTCACCGCTTGGCAAGCCACGCTGTGGTAGGCATCCCACATATAAAGTAGAGGAAGATGGGCATGAATCTTAGCTCAGGGCCAGTCTTCCTCAGCTAAAAGAGAAGGATTGGCAGCAGATGTTAGCTTAGGGCTAATCTTCCTTAAAAAAAAAAAAATCTATGGATTTATTTAAAGCAATACTCAAAAGAAAATACATAGCCATGAGTACATTTATTAATAAAGTAAGGAGTCAAATAAAAGAGCCAAATATTCAATTCAAGGAAATAAAAAAATAATAATAATAGGCAAAATAAGCCAAAATAAAGAAGGGAAAAGTCTAATAATAGAAGTAGGAATTAATTTAAAAGCCAAATAAAAATTAAAATTTATAAATGAAGCAAAGAGTCCTAGAAAATTTGTTGAGAAAACACAAATACCCAACATCAAGATTGAGAAAAGTGAGAAGGAAAAAAAGAAAGCACAAATAAACATCAGGAATGAGAAAGGTTATATAATCTCACCTAGGAAAGGAATTTCTAAAATCATCAGTTAATACTTTCTGTAAATAGATCTTGATGAAATGAATGATTTTTAGAAATATATAACCTTTTCATTTAAATTTCTGAAGTTTCTAAAAACTTATTTTATAATTCCCACATCTGCATCAAATCATAAGGAAAAAATTCCTGAATTCTGCCTCTTCCACTTTCCCCACATACCCAGCACACGAATACTACACATATACCAAGCGCCATGTCTCAACTCTCCTATGTTCCCACCTTAAAAAAAAAAAAAATTATGTCCCTACTGTCATGGCCTGAATTGTGTCCCCAAAATTCATGTGTTGAAGCCCTACCGCCCAGTACCTCAGAGGTGACTACATTTGAAGATAGGGCCTTGAAAAGAGTGATCAAGTTAAAGTGACGCCTTTATTCAATCCGACTGGTGTCGTTATAAAAAAGATTAGGACACAGAAACACACCCAGGGTGCCCAGCACAGAGGAAGGACCGTGTGAGGGCACAGTGAGAAGATGGCCATCGGCAAGCCAAGCGGAGAGGCTGGAGTAGAAAACAAACCTTCCGACACCTTCATCTTGGATTTCTGGCCTCCAGAACTGTGAGAAAATAGATTTCTGTTGTTTAAGTCCCCCAGTCTGTGATATGCAAGCCCTCCTTTTAAATATACCTACCATGTGCCAGTCACTATGCTAGACTCTGGGAAATCAAGACTCAGAGAAAGTAGCTGTTTTCCAGGAGTTCACAGTCTAGAGGAATAAACACATATGCACCCTGATAATAATGCTACGTGATGCATGTGACAATGCAGAATAGCATCTGTCACTTACTGAATTTCTGCCCTGTTTCAAGCTCTTTATACTTATTTAAAATTCTGTCCATCTCCAGCTCTCACTTGGCCATTTTCACTTAATACTTCTCTATTATCTCAATTTCAAAACACCTTCCCAATTCCCATCCCTCTCCGAACTTAGTTTCTGTAAATAGCACCACATCATTTCCTTATTCAGGCTTGGAACGTTAGTGTTTATGGTCAGGGACCAACCCCTGTCAGTTTTTTTGTTTCCCATGACTACCACCTTATTTAAGTCGTTCAATTCCTCTCAATTCCTCTAAGTTGAAAGAAACATTCTCCTTGCTCTCCGTTTCTGAGATCTCTTTTCTGCCCTTCTCTCCTATCCCACCAACTCCCAACCACCCTCTGTACTGCTGCCAGGCCCTTCTTCTTAAAATATCTTTGCATTATATCACTCCACCATTCAAAAATCCCATAATAGTTCTTATTTTTTCACAAATGTAAGCCCCTTTGACTAGCTTTCAGTGACCTCCATAATCCGCTCTTCATTTTACCAATCCACCGTCATTTTACCAATCCACCCCCATTCCCAGAGGCTGTGTCCCAACCTGTGTTTTCTGTTACTCAGATGATTCTTAACACTTTCTCACAAGCATGTCATCCTCACCCCTACCTCCCTACGTTTCCTGAAATGGTCTTTAACTCTCTCTCTCTATATATATATCTAACTATTATGTATTCTTCAAGTCTCAGCTCCTCCAAAGAGGCTGAGCTAAGTTCCTTCAACCTTCTATAATCTGTCTCTTCTGAATTTATATAAAGCCTGTACTCTCCCCCCGAAAATGCACCCCTTTCACTGTTAACTTGCTCTGTGCATGTTATTTTTATCCTAAATTACAACTCCATTAAGACCAAGACTAGAGCCGGTGAAATTATTTTATACTCCCATCCCATCATTTATCACATTACTTGATACTTGGTGAGTGCTTGGTATGTACTTTTCACTATAATGTCTTTTATTTCCTCTAATGTCTTTTATTTCCTCCTCAAGTGTTCTCCTCAAGGAGAAAAATCAGTGTTGGATGGTTCTATCAGCTATGGAGTGTCCATGCAGGAAAGGGAATTTCAGCGGGAACTTGCTTGAGACAGTAGAGGACTGAGTTTAGCACTTTAAAGATAGAGAAATTAAATGTATGGGACTGTTGCACGTTAACTGCAGAGAGTATAATGGGTAAAAAACGACTGCCTCCAAATCCTAAATAGAAGCCTGTTACACACACACAGAAATGCACAGGACTAGGCACTAGCCCAGTAATTAGACAGTCAGGTTGAATCCATTTCATCTCATACCAGCTGCATGATCATAAGCTTATTATTTAACCCCTATAAGCCCCAGTTTCCTCTTCTGCAAAATATAGATGTTCTGGGATTAAATGAGATTATTCATTCACTTAGCATAGTGCCTCGGGTATAGGGCTGCTCAATACACATTAGTTGTTATTATCATATTTTGTTCTTTTTTCCACAACTTTGCTTAAGAGGTATTTGAGGACCTGAAGAAGATGTGATGGTGCTCTCCAAGAGTTAACATGGTACATGCATGGTTCCCTGCAGGCAAGGAAGGTAAGATGATTCATAAACTAACCTAGTTCATCAGAAGTAGTTACTCATGTTTAGGGGAGTCCTAAAAAAATGAAAGCCTTCCCACTCTCCTAATGTCCCCCTACCAATAGTCCACATAGTTCAGATAATACTGTTGTGGGGGGCATCTACTGTTTTGTCCACTCAGAACAGCAACTCCCTCCTGGCAAAAGATAAACTCTAGCCTGAATGGAGGCCGCCATCTTACTTACACAGGCACCTCAGACATTCCTGAATGACCAAAGGTGGACGCCTGATCCAGCTGAGCCAATCATATCACTTACACCCTGCTGTAGTCACAAATTGATCCCCTGGAGGAAAACCTGACTCAGACTAGAGTAAATAAAGCCCTACCCCAGAATTTTTAAATTTTGGATAGGAAAGAGAGATCCTCGGGCCTTCTTTGGTGGCTACACTGTGAGATGAACTCCAGCTAGAAAATGTTTGCAGTCATGTCTCCTGCTTTGTGTTCTGTGTACATAAAGCTGATATATAGGCAGAAGTGGGATGAAAGGAGAATCTTTGCAGGATTCAGTTCCCTGGCACCCTGGATACCCAAAGTCCACATACACTTCTGCATTTGCCAAGGTTATAGGAATCAATGCATTCTTCTTCTTGCCTAAGCTTATTTGAATTACGTTTCTGCCACTTGACTAATGTCCTGACTAAATCAATCAGATTTTTAAAGATTAAGCTGCTAAGAAATTTTTAGAAACATCTGGCTGACTTACAAAAAGCAAATTCTCCTCGTGTACACAATTCTATAGGTTACTTTCTCAAAATATCCTGAGGGGGGCAATGTTTCCACGCACAAAAAAAAAAATCAACTTCTGTCCAAAGCATTTTTTTTTTAAACAAAAGGGAGGAACTGAGTGAACTGTATGAGGAGATTCTAATTGGCTGGAACATCTGTTGAAATTGTGTTTCTGTAAAGAAAGAAAAAACTACCATCTTCGGAGATCTCTGGCTAGCTTTTAAGGCACCTAAATCTCAGTCTTAAGTGAAGCGGACAGAGAAAAAAAGAATGAAGCATCTACTAGCAGCCATTCCGTGGCTTCAGCTAGACCGTGAGTTGAGGGTTATTGGAAAGGGAATTGTCACACAATGTTCAGGGGTGGAGACAAGGCTCAGTGTGACTCCTGTGAGGTTCCCAGTGGGCAACTGGATTCCAGGGACAACCAGTGAACTCCTCCTTGTGAAATGTTCGCTTTGGACAGGGTTAAATGGAGAGGTGAGAGTGGAGCAAAGCCCTCCGGCCCTGAGCCCCCAGGAGGGAGAAAACTGTACCATCTACTGCAATTATTCAGGAACGACTACAGCTCGACTGTACTGGTACAGACAGGAGCTGGGGAAAAGCCTGGGACACCTGTTTTCGTTGGTGTCAAACGGAATAGTGAAGCAGGAGGGACTATTCACAGCCTGTCTTGACACCAAAGCCTGTCGCAGCGCCCTGCACATCACGGCCACCCAGGGTGGCCTCTCTGCCTGCTACATCTGCCCGGTGGACGGACAGCGCTCCCCCGAGGCTTTCAGTCCGTACCCAAAGCTGCAGCCTCGGCCCCCGCCCCCGCTGCTGCGGGACTACAGTCGGAGGCTTAGTGCATCGTCTCTGCCTCTCTTCCTGCAAGGAAATTCTGAAATGAATGAGAAAAGATGGTGTTTTTAACCTTTATTTTCTTCACTATGGAAATTTTCTTTAAAGGTAAATGGATTCGGGGGGAAAATGTCCTAAACATGTCTTTCCTGAGAATATGAGCTCTCATCTTTTACTGCCTCATAGTCAAAATCCATTAGTCTTCCATTACAGAATGATTTTACATTTAGCACAACTGTCACAAATAATTCCTATGAAATACAGAGCCATTATTTGTTTATATGTGAGTGTAGCCTATAGCATTTACCAATGGAGGGGAAAAAAGAATAAATGCTTTATAAAAGAATATTCTGTGAGAGGCTCCTTACCTAGTTTTTCCTGCTAAATTATTGACTGCACTGGTCAAGTGATGTCCGTGAGATCTAGGTATCAAGTTATCACAATGTGTAGAGAGATTCTTGTTGTAGGACTTTAAAAAATAAATAAATAAAAGGCTAATTGAAAAAACCTGAACCCACACTGTTGCATGAAAGTATTATGCATATACCTGGTCTACAAACCCAGGATACAAATGCTTTCACGTCTCTCATTTTTCCAAGTAGTTTTTAGAGCGAAAACCGGCCAAATAAGCAGGGAGTTCCTTATCTCCTTCTTGGGCCCTTGCCCGCACCCACCCCTGACCTGTCTAAGAAGCGGGGAGAGGTGGGCAGCTTGGAAAGGATTCGTCAAGCTTCCACGCCAAGCAGTGGACCCCAGTTGACTCCTGCCTTGTTTCTTGCTGATACACATTCTCCCTCAGGGTCTGAGAGAGAGTGCTGGACCATGCTGATCCTGCCCCTGGAGGGTGACCCCACTCTTTCAGTGTCAGCTTGGCCAATGGTGCCTCATGCCTGGGCTCAAGATTGCAGAACTCTGTACTCATCTCCCTCATGGACACATGGCCACCGCTTGAGACCCCAACAACCAAAGAATTCTGGGTTCAGAGTGGTTCTGGCCTTCATATTGTGGGGACAAAACAGCATCCCCTTTTGTGGCTCTTCCTAAGCGATAAATATCTTTTGTTTTGCATGTCTCAGACCCAAAGGGTCTGATTACACTCACTTTCTCTAGAGTGACAGTAGGGTTATATGCCAACCCTCTTAAGGACGAATACTCTTAGCAACCCCTTAGGATCCTGCAGCTCCTTTCTAACCCTGGCCACCTTCAATGACTCGAGGGTATTTATCCCTCAAATGAGACTCCCTAAGGTGACTTTTTCCTGTTTTCCAAGTGAGGTCACCCATAATGATTCCACAGTGTCAACACTTCCTTTTCTAAGGGATGCTGGCCACAGTGAATATACAATGGTTTTCTGGGATTTTCTTACTGAATAATAAAACTAACCCAAACTTTATCACTGAGAGGCACCTTGCCACATGATTTTCTGAAACAAGTAAATTAAGCACAATTTAATACAATGAAATGAAATTACATATTAAGTTCTAATCTCCCCGCTAAGGCATTGGGGAATACCCTTAGTTTAATGGCAAATAAAGTAGTATCTACTTTGATGTAATGTAGGTTTATCTTCTTCTAGGTCCTGCTGTGCCTCTACTTGCCCTGTAATACTCTTTTCCCTAAACAGTTTACAATGAGTGGTCACCTCCTAGTTCAAGGACCCTTATGAAACTCCAAAATGTTTCTGATGTTTGCTTACACACTTTCTCAAAAGTCATAACATCAATTCTTTATTGTTTTGAGGCTTTGCTTTCCTCTAATTGCTCTGCAAAATATCCATGCCTGCATTTCTTACTGCCCAGGAGCAGTGGCACTGTTCCACATCTCTGCTTCTTCCTCTGTCAGCACAGACTGTGTCCTCAGTCTGGCGGTTTATTTGCTCCTCTCTTCTCTGTTGTGGTAATGCTTGTTAGTGGGCTGGGTTACTTACTAATCGAAATCCACACTCAAATCAGATCCCTCCACTGCGCAGAATCATAAATCCCATGAGACTTTTGTGAACATCAGGAAAATCCTGACAGGCCACAAAAGGTCAAGGGGTTTATTTCTTGGCCATTGCATATGCAATAGTGTTTATATCTGTAACCTGCAATCCTTTTTCTTCATCATTCCAAAATATATAACGAGCAATGTATAGTGACAAATAGTAAAAGTATAGATTTATTTACATTGTACATTTAATTTGAAATCAGCACTTTGGATAGAAATGTTAAGATGGAGTGTCCAACACAGCAGGACTACTTGGTCAAAAGGCATCAGTTCTTCCATCTTTCTGTTCTTTCCTTATATTTTCTCATTTAAACTTCATAGCAAAAGGGCATGATTCCCTCTTGTGAATGAAAGTCTCCACCTGGTTAGTCAATAGAGAGTAGTGGACCCAGCTTACTGACTGGGTAAATAGGACAAAATATGCTACAAGAGAAGGAACTTTTGACTAAAAACTTCCCTTGTCTCCCCAAATTCATAGCTGTGGAAGTCTCATAAATGATATTTCAACTGTGCTGTGAGTTGCAAAGATACAGGGGTCAGTCCCATTCAGCTCAAGAATCTTACAGATACCGTGAAGAAAGAAATAAGGTGAGAGATTGATGCACAAATTACTTATTTTGCACATTTTAGTGTGGCTATTGGAGCAAGAGTGAAGATACAACAGGAAACAGAAAGAACACTATTATCTGCCACAATGACTCAACCAGCATTTTAAATAGACTTCCATGAAATAGAGTCAAGAGAGAGCCCTAAAGGCTAATTTGGTAACCTTTTAAATGAAGGAATTGAAAGAGAGGGCCATAATGAAGCTTCTCTTATTATAGCAAAACAGATTTTTAATGGCTTTTCCCCTTTCTAATTTTTTGGGGAATAAGAAAAACAAAAGGTGTATAAGAGTTTTGAGCATGGTGGCATCTCACCTCAGACCAGTTGAAGCTGAGGAAGAGGAAGAAGTTCTGTGCAAACATCAGCAGTGACTGTGTTTGAACATGGAATTTATTGTTTTTCTCCTCCACTGTTTCCGCATTTTTAGGATGGGGTCAACAACTGAGCAGCTTTCTCAGTCCCAGGAATGAATTTGGAAAATAAGATGCTACCAGTCAACAAAACTGTGCTAAAAAGAAAGTCAAATACCATATGATCTCACTCATAAGTAGAAGATAAAAATGACCAAAAAAAAAAAAAAAAACACATAGCATTGGAGATTGGACTGGTGGTTACCATTGGGGAAGGGGGGAGGGGGGAGGGAAAAAGGGATGATTAGGGTCACATGTGAGGGGATGCACTATAATTAGTGTTCGGGTGGTGAACGTGATGTAATGTATCCAGAATTTGAAATATGATGAATATCCGGAAAAAATAAAAATTAAAAAATAAATAAATAAAAATAAACAATGCTGTGATGAATAGTTAAAAAAAAAAAAAAGAACACTGTCTAAATTTGGCTGTTTCTTTGCCACTCGATCACTAGGAATTGTCACTTCACATCCTCCTGAGGCCTTGTTCACACAGTCACAAGCTCCCTACTACACAGGAATGCCTCCTAAAGAAGTTTTGGGCTGGAATCTCAGGAAAATTTAATCTTTGGGTCTTAACTGAATTTACCTCAAGATTGAGTGTCCTTGCCAGTCAGAAGAATACAATATTTTTTCTATATTGTCTGCCAGTTCCCTCTTCCTATCCCTCCATTTTTGTTTGTTTTTATTTTGCTAAATTGTGAGATTTACTGAATCTTTGCCCTTTTCAAGCTAGATAAGAACAAATTTCACTGTCAGGAAAATCATCTTTTAAGAAATACTCAAATTGAGCTTTATACAAAATAATTGAAAAACGTTTTTCCTGTTTTATCAGTGAAATGGACAAGCCCTAATCAGGACCCTCAGATACCAGTTTTATCCGATTTTCCTCCCAAACTTCTAGAAAAATAATCATCTTGATTTGCTAAGGCTTTTAAGTGAAAATATTCCAGAAATTACTGTACAATATAAAAATTGATCTTAACATTTCAACATTTGTGCTCTCCTAAGCAAAAACACATTAAAAAAACACACCAAAAAAACATTTCTCCAAGTTGCCCCAGAATCTTCACAGGCTAATCAGGACCCACAGCCATTTGATGGCAGGTTAAGAAGGGTCAGCAGCAGTGTGTACAGACCAAAAGCTCCTGATACCACTCAGAACCTACAACACTGACTGTAATAATTTCCAGAGTCAGACAAAATGAAACTTGACAAAATGAAAACCTGACTTAGTTCCATCTTCCTCTGAGTCAAGCAGAGGCTCCACTTGAATAGATTAGGCTGAAAGAACTTTGACCTTGTATTTGTAAATATGCTTAATGTATCTTGAATTTCAAGTTTCCTGAATTTACCAAAGCAAGCTTCCTGGTTAATGACTGCTTGTCAGGAAATTTTTATTTTGCATTTACGAATTCAATCCCTGTATTGTTACATAATCAGACAACAGTGTTTTATATCAGATTTCCTATAACCTTTCTGTAGCATTTAACATCATATCACCGCACCCTGATTTCAATGTTGAAAACAGTTTCACAAGGAAACAATTCATGATGGGAAAAAAATCATTGCTCAATCCAGTTGAATTTACTGAAAGAACAAGTATCCACTTGAATCTCCAAGTCTTTTCCCTAGTATAGAGGACTTGGATTCTGAAGATTAACTTTTGGGTCTTCCTAAGGTCAAGAATATAAGCAAACTCCAAAACGGATGAATATGACTCAGAGATTTTAAAGAAATCCATTAAAATAAAATTTAAAATATAAAAACCTAAGTTCCTCCTACCTCCCTTACCAACCCCTTCACAATTTATGAGCACATAGATTTTTATTTTCTCTTTCTAGAATCGCTTACTTTCACTGAAAATGTATCATTGCATGTTACCCTAAAAGATAGAATCCACGCGTTCAAAACTGAACCAGTTAATTTTAAGGGTATGATGGTGTAATAAGAAAATATCATTAGAGGTGACAATTTCCAACACACTAGATCATGTTAAAACAAGTATGTTCACCCTGGTGGGACCTGCACGAAGGCTGCCGGTTAATCCTAGCTTCCAGCAGTTGCTGCGGATGACCAGAGCTGCTTCTAACAAGAAGTTCCAAAAACCACTCAGAGTTTCATCCTGATCAGATGCACTAGCTACCAAGTCCACTTAAATAATCAAGACCAAGTGTATAATCATAATTAACTTTATTTGAAAGATATGAATTTATGTATGTGCATGTATCTATGTACTCAACTTTTTTGATTGTATCATTAAATTCTATGTCTTTGCTTTGTTTTCTATTAAATCTGAAAGAAGACTCTTAAAATCTTCCACTTATTTTATCAAGTTCTTCTTGAAAATTGCTTTTTTTTGTTTATTTACCTTCAATGTCTTTGATGAATATGGATTATGAGATATAGCTCTCCCTAAAGTCTGTCTTTTTAGCATAATGTCCAGAAAATCATCCATTTCTTCTTCATCCTGTGTGGGTGAAACCTTCTACTTTTCCCTCAAAATTTATTATGCTCTCTTTTCCTCCTTTATTCTGCCTCAGAATAAAACCTGTATTGCCTAGACTTCCTTGCAGCTAGGTATGGCCATGAACTAAGTTCTGGTCAATGAAATGTAAGTGTAAATGCCATGTGGCAGCTTCTAGAAATTTCTCTGAGACTCAGTATGCAAGCTTTTCAGTCTCTCCCAGCTATCTTGACTGCCAACTCCTTTCTTGCTGGAGTTATTGGTCTTCTGAGATTCAACGGTATCCTTCATTTGGTCCATGAACTATGTACCTTCCTTGATGAAGTCTCTTTGGTTGGCACAGCAGTTCTCAATTCCCTGCCTTCCATGACCTCCTTCAGGCAAGCAAAATATTTTCAGAAATTTTTGGAAAACAGTATTTAAATAGACCATAGTGCTGTTTCTACTCTACTGTGGCTGAAATATGTTGGAGTATATCATTTTGCAAAGCTGGATACTCTCAAAGTTCCAGACAGAAAACAGACCAAAGTTTCCTGTGCATTGGGATAGCCAACCTATCTTGTGTTTCTTATCATCATTACTAGCCAAGGGTTTTAGACTCAGGATTTGGAGTAAAAACTGCCCTGAAACTTCAGGGTCTTCTCTTGACCTGTAAATTATCAAAAGGAAAAATAGTCAGATACCTGGTTCCTGCAACTCAAAAATGCTTTCATTTTTAGAATATCTTTTCCTCTTAAGACTTTTGAAGTCTATTTCAAAACACAAAGTCAAGAATTTGAATCTTGCGTCTCACTGAATTATTTGGCAATCTCTCTTTCCTGGATCAATAAGATTCCTCTCCAGAATTCATGGTAAAAAGGGTTACAGGGAAAAAACGAATTTTAAAGGAGGAAAATATGTGAGATGAAATTTGAAACTATTATCCTGCTGCATATAGAATTGGAGACTCTAATGATACAATAGCGTGAATGCCAGACTTGATGTCAGAAGGAATTTCTTGGTGTTCAAACTCTTCTGCTATGAGTTCAATGCCCTTAGGCATGTTACATAATACACCTAAGCCTCATTTTTCCCATCAAAAAATGTGGAAAAATAAAAACCACTTGGCAAAGTTTTCATGACATTTAAAATAAGATAGAATATATGTCAAGTAAACAACACAAATACCAGACCTTCTAGAACAGCATTTATTGGAGGAAATTCACAAAGACACAAGAAGGAGCAGGTGTGTGGTTTCCCCAGGGGCAGCACACACCCCCGCATTCTGGGGAACCACACAGCAATCTAGCAGAGCCAATGTCAGACCCTAAGAAAGAGATCCCAGGCTTCAGCCATAAAGATTTTAAGCTGCATTATTGGGAATCACCAGGCTTTACCTCAACATAGGGGCTGGGCTCCAAACTATGCGATCATAGCAATAGAAAATAATGGAAACTATGGCCTCCAGTCCTGATCCGTCACCTCGGCACTCTTCCAAAATTGATTGACTTAAGCACCAGGCTGAAGCTTTACAGGAAGCCAACTCCCTTTCTGAAGTCTGGTCTGCAAGGAATTAGTTCCCCTTACCTCTCAGTCTGTGAAAAATCCACAAGCACAGTGCCTGGCACGTAGTTGGTGTAAATGTAGAATGAATCTGTGTGGCCATGGGGAGACGATGTGTCCAGTCACTCTGTAATGCAGAAAGTATGTTTGTTCTCAGATTAAATAATGTATTCAACAAGTGTTTATTGAATGTCCACTCTGTGCCAAGCTCTCTTCTAGGCACTTGAGATATACCTGTTAACAAAATGCACAGCGATCAAATTTTATGGAGATTCCATTCTAATAAGCATTAAACATAGTAAGTACATTATATCATATATTAGAAGATAAATGTGTGGAGATAAGACTCAAGAAGGGTAAAGGGGATGGGGAGTGCTGGGTAGGTCACAGGAGGGCAGCTCCCCTTGTAGTTTTAGGTAAGGTGGTCAGAGTCAGCTCGCTGAGAGGATAACATGTGAGCAAACATTTGAAGAAGATAAGGGAGCGAGTCTTGAGGACATCTGGAGCAAGAGCTTTTCAGGCAGACAGAAGAGTCCAGTCCTCAGTGAGGAAGAGTCCAACATGTTCAAGGACTGGGTGAAATGAAGAGCCCCGGGAGCATTTTGAGAAAGGAATGATACGATATGACTTCCATTTCAAAGTCTCACTTTGGCTGCTGTGTTGAGAATAGACTAAGTCAGGCAAGACGAAAGCAGGGAAGATTGCTATATTAACATCAGAACCAAAAAGCTGTCAAAAAGTTACAGATCTCCAGTTAGAAGAAGAGGAAGTTCTGGGGATGTAATGTGCAACCGGTGATTATAAATAAAAATAAAAATTAAATTAAAAAAATATCAGAACCAATGTTGTCTGATGCTCCTCTGAGCTCGGAGGCTTCTTCCACAATCAAAGCCTATTCAAGAGCAGCTGTCATTTCTACTCCTCCTGATGGAGAGGTGGAGACGCATTTGATAACTTTTCTGGGGAATCCTCTGACTGCAAATTATCTGTGAGTTTGGGGAAAAATGATAGAAAGGAGTCCTCATTTCAGATACATGAAAGTTTGTTGTGAAGGCATCTCCCTAAGGAAAATATCAGAGCTTTCTTCTATTTCAGAAGACTCCCTACTCAAAATTAGGCATGTCGAGGATCTTTGAAGATGGTCCCGTGGA